GCTTATAACATTACTAATTCCATGCAACCTTAAATTCTTGTGTTAGGTGTTGTTTACCATAATAGTCGAATAGCGGAGTCATACCCAAGACTCTCTGAGTTTATAGTCCGCACCCTTAGTAGTAGGATGCTCGAAGTTTCTCTGCTTGTTAGACCTAGAAATAAGAATCTCCGTATTATAACCAGAAAAACCGACATAGCCCAACAGATAAGTTAATTAAAGTGGCAATGAGCCAGCCATAGCTCGAAGAACCAACAACAAATGGGAAAGAAATGTTCTCGAGTGGCAGCCTCATACTGGTATGCGAAGTGCAAGGCGGCCGCACTCTATCTGAAGCGACAACCTGGTAAGTGATGTAGGAAGTCGATAGATGCAGGATGCTCAGGACCGTGCTTTGGGGCATTCTTTGGGGGAGGCCTATGTACATCAGTGGACTTGTGAAAGGCTGTGATGATGATGGTGATGATGATGATAGAGTCATGTTCCTCTCTTTCCCGTCATGACAAAACAAATTGCGGGCTTTTGGGTTACGTTGTGTAGTTATGGTCCTCATTTATCTGAAATCGTTACATCGAGCGTAGTAAGTAAGGACGAATGTATGTATACACCTATTAGACATTTTTATTTCTTCTACGCTATTTTTCCTACAGTATTCAGAAGTTGTTTTCTTGGTCACAATCGACAAGGAGATCACCATTATCATCATTAATAATTAAAGTGAATGCGTGAAAGATTTAGGTTATATAATATAAATAACCAGCTCATGCAGTTAAAACTTCAAGGACTATAAAAATTCCATTTACCTTAATAAATATAGAATAAAAAATGAAACCTACCTAACTTTATGCACATAATGAGTATGCCAGTGCATAAATAAGAAGAAATAAGGTGGTCTAACGTTTCTCAATGTCTAGCGCATAAAATATTGCAATCTCTTAGGGCTACTAGTTCTAGAATGTACTTCGTTAAAGATTTATTTTGTCGATGCTATCGTCAAAAGTCCACATCCTTTACTAAGGAGGTCGAAGTCTGTTAGTCTTTGTGGTATTTGAATTCCATCTTTAGTAACTTAAATATTAGCTAGTGTACGACTGGCCACTCACTGAAAGACGAATAGGTTATGCGGTCGGATGTACTTAAATGGATTGATTTAAACGTCAGGAAACTACATTTAATTATGCGAGCAAATTATTTAAAACTATGTAGTGCAGTTATTTATTTGATTAGTTAATTCGAAGCAAAAAAGTAATGTACCTATGTTCATGTTGGATTAATAGACTTTTTCCAACTCTGTGGTATGCATATGTGTGTGTACAATTATTTGGTCCATCACTCCGTTTTTCGCCCCGTGGGTTTTCTATGAGGCGAACAATTATTTATTACAAATTATTTACAACCTATGTAGTTCAGTTATTTATTTGATTAGTTAATTCGACGCAAAAGTAATAGTAATGTACCTTTTTTATGTTGGATTAATAGGCTTTTTTCAAGTCTTCTAGTTTCAAGTGTGGTATGCGTATGTATGTAAACATTTGGTCCATCGCTCCATTTCGTCCCGTGGGTTTCGTATGAGAGGACTATCATAAAGGCCAAGATAATAGGAGTTTTGGATATATATAGCCATCTCGTTTAAGTCAGACTTAAAGTATCTAGACCGGCGACGAGGAACAACATTTAGGATGCCGGCAATCGTAGCGATCGGCATTCCGCCTGCCAAATGGGGCAATTACGGCAAATCCTTCCTTTATGGGCGAAACCCATGTTCAGCAGTGTACATGCTAATTAAGAATAATATAAAATAAAATTTCGTAAATGTCACAAGAGGCGACAAGGAAAATCTAAAACAAGCGATGGGCGGCACAGACGTTAAAATACGAACGTATTGTTACTCTGAAGGAAGATGATGCTGCTCATCATGGGTGACGGGCAGGTAGTATTCTAATTCAATATGTAGACAATGAATTCCATCGTTTAATTGAAAAAAAAGGTAAAAAACGTTGCAGCCTATTTACATCCCACTGCTGGGCACAGGCCTCCGGTCATTTCTGAAAGGGTTTTAGGGCAAGGAAATGTCACATGAACTTCACATGTCTTCGAAATATTTTTTTTCTTATTTCTCACGCATGCAGGTTTCTTCACGATGTTTTCCTTCACCGCTGAGCACGTGGTAAATCAGCACTTAAAATTGCAATTTACTATTTCATTGGTACTGGCGGGGATCGAACTCGGGTTGCTCGAGTAATGTGAAGCTTACAAACGAGCGCTATCTGAGCTACCACGGCTCACTTTAAATGAAAGGTAGCTTTTAATTAACTGACAGATTTTTAACGATGAGTCAGAGAGAGCAATGCGCTTCAGAGTACAGAGCCTAACCGGAGCTAAATATTTGTACAAAAATATAGTGGCTCTGGTTGTATTTGTACGCGTAAACCTGATACGATCCTCTTCCGATTTTATGAAGTACACAAAATACGAGATGTTTTATTTTATTATATGCCTTCTATACGTCCTGAGTTCTTGAAATATATGATGAAACTGCATATTACTCAATAATTGATAGGTTTACTGAAAGATAACAGCACTTAGTTACTCAATATTACTAATGTTTGTTTGATTTCTCTTTTAACTCAGTAGGAAAGTTTTACTTCCTTAAAAATTGAAAACAAAATGGACACAAATTAAAGAAAAAGTTTTAAAATATTAATATTTTTGTTTATTTTATACCGAAACAATATTCTTGCCTTCATGGTTTATAATAAAGCTCTAAGTTCGAAAGCTTACTTTATACTAGTTCATTTTATTCGTATAATTTTATCTACGAAGTTCAAACATTTTATTGAACTTATTGTAATAATTATTTTAAATATATATACATGTAACTTTTTTATATATAGAGCATTTCACTATAGAAACAGAAACGGAGACTTTTTTTATTCAATACAGATTATAAATAATACGTATTGAAAGTCACTCTCAAAGTCACTATAATATTAAACTCTCGTTAAAGGAGCTTTTGTAAAAAAAAAACCTGTTTTGTTAAACTCTGCACAGCATTGTACCGTACACAGGATATGTCAAAAGCAAATATTTAGCTGCGGCATACTCATTACGTCAAAAGCACTCGGGCATAAAAATTTAATAAAATGGTGTATTCACTCGTGTCATACTATAACATTATTTGAGTCAATGTGCAATATTTTGGTAGTTAATTTTGTTTACAAGAAATAATAATAATTTAAAAAAAAACGTTTAACATTGGTAACCCCTGAACATGTTTTACAATATTTTTTATATTATGGAATAACAAATCAGCATGGTTTTATCTTCACGCACAATCCCTAACGGGGTAGCCAGAGAGAACAGATCGCCAAGTGTCACGATCCTTACAAACCTCTTTCGCTTCTTTCTCCTTTTAGGGATTGTGCGTGAAGATAAAAACCAAACAAATCAGCATAATCTACCCGATGGTAAAAGGAAGCTGTGACCCATAGACGCGTACATCTAACGTCGATTAAGAATTAAAATGCAGACGCAGAATGTGATGTCTTAATTACTTCAGAACTAAAATGCTTGGTTGAGGGTTCGTTACCATTAAAAAGGGTCTTCTGTGCGGATCACATATCATACGAAATATATACATACATTCCTTGCATCACGTGTAATAACCAAAGAGGATAGACAGAGACCAAAGGGTAGCAAACTAATTAGACCACGTTTGGGCAGCTTCTCTTAGAGCATTACCCTTCTTAATTGGAAGTGACATAGCCGTACTACAGGGTAGATCTTACCAAGTAATAAGTTTCTTCGGAAATTGGTAAATTTGCAATGTCAATATGCCATAAAATTCTATATTTACCATATCTATTATTATTTTATAGTATTTTTTGTTTTAAGTGACATGATCACCTACTTCCATCAACACGCAGTGTATTCAATATTTACTATTTTACAAGTTTTTTTTTAGAATAAGGGTGAGAAACGAGCACACAGTCCACCTGATGATAAGTGGATGCTGCAGCTTATAGATACATCTGTTTTCGATTAAGAATCAAAATGTAGATGCGTCGTTACCCTGAGAGCCAAGGTAAAATGCATCGTCACCAGTAAAAAGAGTCTCCAGTTCTTTACACTCACCAAACGAAACAAAGCTGTATTAAGCTGCGCTTTTCCATTCGCCCACTATCCATGAGCCATTCTTCGTCTGATGGCATGTGTATAATGGCCTATCGTCACTTACTCTCTGTATCTTTCCACGATTAAAACTCGAAATGCGGAGTGGTTGCCACCTCTGAGTTATGCTACTGTTTAGGATATTTTTAAAAAGATATCTGCAACCAAATTCAAAGAAGGTCGCTGACTAGTTTTCACCCCTAAGGATATACAGCCTTCTAAAGAACCATATTATTTACAGTAACTAAATTTTATATTCCTCGCTCTGTTATGGTTCTATTTGTATACCTATTATGACCAACTAACATGTGTATACAAATCTTTTATTTTTGTTTATTTTTGTCACAGCGTACTTACTAGATTATTTATTATTTGACGTTTTAGTCATATTTGCTTCAATACAGTATATTAAGGTACTTCATACATAAAATTTCAAACTCCTAACTGATTTAGTTTTTGAGGTAGATTTTTTGAAATAAAGAAGAATAAAAAATATATTTGTCCTCCACTCAATGAGCTCTAGACATTAACACTCTACTTGCTTGGATGTGATTTCTTCTTTTACTTTTCCCCTGAAAAATAATTTAATTGAGCTCCTTATTCGAGATTCCGTTTTAGGTCAATATTTTACACAAAATATACAAGTTTCAGGTTATGAACTTATTACGAGTTGGAGATATGTGACATATAGACAGAAATACGAACAGACAGTAGTGACTTTAACAAAGCTCCTGTAGGGATTTTCCTAATAGTTTACTTTTTGTATACAGAACCCTAACGATGTTAACAAGATTATCTACATGTTATTAAATAAACTTTTATTGTTACAGCTATTATCTTATGCGCTCATGCTGCAGAAAACAATGGGACGAATGCTGAAGATGGCGATGCGCTTAAAAGACAAATACAAGAGGGGCAACAAGATGAAATGTACAGGTCGGCAAGAAAACAGGTAAGGCACGTCGTATTTCATCGAAAGACGAAATAAATGATATTTTATTTAATAGTTGGACCCTTCTCCGACTGTCAGGATGAAGCGTTGACGACTAATGGCAGAAAATCCATTAAAAGTGTTGGTTCCAGTCTCGCCATCTGGTTTTAGGGAACAGATTTATAGGTATGGGTGGGTTCTTTGCATGGAAAATTTTAAATTAAGTATGCCTTTATGTGGCACGTGGCTTGAATTGGTTTATTTTCTATTAACTGTTTTAAATGAATTAAATATTTGTAACAAACCAAGAAAAAATTATTTTAATACAACAAAGCTTGATAAATACTAAATACCAACTGATGACAAGTGTATAATGGCCCACCGACACTTACTCTCTGTATCTGTCCTCGATTTAAAATCAAAATTCCGATGTACTATTTAGGATATTTATAAAGAGATATCTGAAACAAATTTCAAAGAAGGCCATTGACTTGTTTTTACCTCTAAAGATATACCTATCGTCTTCTAAATAAGCATATTACTGTAATTAAAATTGTATACTGCATAAAATATTTCAGAGGCCTGAGCGTTATTATTTTATATTTGGTAGATGTTAGCCTTAATATTAATATTTTATATTTAGATCCAGACATGGCCTAAATTCAGATTTCTTCAATAAACTTTTACTAACGATCTATAATAATAAAGCAGTAATGAAATAACTTGTATTATTTTACTAAAACAGATTTTAATTAATTTAGGCTTCGTTTAAATTTTATTTAGTTAATTATGTTCGATAAACTTAACACAATTATGAGAGTATAAGATGCTAACGTCTAAGTTACACGCCTGGCCTAGTTTGAATTTAACGTTCATTAGGGATTAAACCAGTAGTCTTGTAGTTACAAATGAAACAATGTAAGCAATATTGAGTACTATTTAATTTTAATTTAATTTATTTTTAAAGTATGGTATACGGGTATATACCATTTTTTAATATGTTTTGATTTAAATTCCCGTTTATAAGTGTTTAGTAAACAAAAATAAAACGTCAACATCTTTTTATTGAATTTAACAAAGCTATTTTTGAATATCATGCAAATTAAGCCATTATTTCAACAGAGCGGCCTGGGGGATATTTATGAGAAAAATCGGAAATCAGCTCACCGGTAACATGAAATAGCCTAATAATTGAAAAATAAACATTCTTATCGAGAAATACAACATGTTCATATTTTGATGCTATTAAAATAAAATATTATAATAATATTAGAGTATGTAGTTGGTTAACAGTTAATAAATATTAACAAAATTCCATATTGTTTATGCAACTGTCTATCCAGTTGACATTAAAACGTAAACCTTCTTGCGAAAAATCACTAGTTCCACCGTCAATGTTGGTTTTAAATTGGAACGTATGTCTTTCAATGTCCCTTACAATTCTTCTATATAAGCCTCTGACTCCCTTGTTAGTACGTTGAATTCAAATTTTATGCTAACTGCACCGCTGTTTATGGCTTTCTAATTCAGTGCAAATTATATTCCTCTATTATAAGTTTACTGTTGACGTCTATACGTAGGTAATAAGTTAAAAGTATATTTTAGTCCTTACTTTACTATTAAATGTCTAACCTCTATAAATTCAAATTTTATCAAACTCCAATAAATATTTTTTACACATTTTGATTCATCTAGTTTGCATTATTCGTACGATTTGTGTTTTTTTTTTCATAAAACTGAGGTAGAAAAGAAAATTACAGTCCACCTGGAGTCGTGCCATGAACTGTGGTAGCTCAGATGGTTAGCGCTCACTGTAAGTTTCAGAGTACGCGAGCAACCCAGGTTCGATACCAGCCGGCATCAATGAAATTGTTAATTGCAATTTTAAGTGCTGATTTACCACGGGCTCGACGATGAAGGGAAACATCTTAAGGAAACCTGTCCGAGAAATAAGAAAAAAAATATTTCAAAGACATGTGAAGTTCGACAACACGCGTTGGGGCAGCGCGGCGGAAATTTCCTCGCCCTAAAACCCTCTCAGATATGAGAGGAGGCCTGTGCCCAGCAGTGGGACGTATATAGGCTGCAACTTTAACTTTTAACAGTCTACTTAATGGTAAGTGGCTACTGCATTCAATGGACATCTGCAGCCAGCATCAAACAAATAGAATACTAAAATATAGTTGTCACCATTGAAGAATACCTCAGAGTCTGTAATTGAACTGGCGCTCTATATACCCTATAGACCGAAACACAGTAGTGAATAAGAACAAATAGGTAAGAGGGTGATATCTACACATACGGACTCCTAGGCGGACAATGAGTCCTAACAACTAATATATTGTAAAATGATTACGGTATAGCGCTATATTATGAGTGTCGCTTTCGAAGCGGCGCGAGAGAAATTTTTAATTTTTTACCTTTAGTGCTAAAACTATCATCACTTCAGAGTCACGGATTTTACACGTGATAAGGCTCCTTTTACATCTTTAACATTATAATGCACTTCGTTTCTCTTCCGTCTCTCCGTCACTCTTATTATTGTACTCCGGTTTGAAGGAGAAGAGAGCCAGAATAGTTGTACGTCTTTACTCTTTACTCTGTGGTTGTACGCTGAGAGGCTATTCTATCGTAGTACTCATGAGAGACAAATCCGTCTTCGAACTTCTCCGTCTTTGAACAGGTATCCATAGGCTTCCGTAGTAACTTATCATAAGTAGTCTTAACTTATGATAAGTAGTATTAACTAATCAATGGGTTGTTAGCTCGTCGACTTGTACTTTGCATAATTCTTAATTTTAATTTTATAATAATGTTTTGAAACAGATCTTTATTTACGTCATTTAGTTAATTTGGAAAAAAAAATATTTGGCTTATTATTTTTTTAATGTCGCTAAACTCCCTGTGAGAAATGCTATAGATCGCTTTATCCAATTTGTTTATTAAAGCTAATGTTAAATTAACTTTGGTAAAATAACATTTCAAATCATAAATAATGTCTTGAGCCTCGCTCTTTCACTTCAGTGTCCTAGATTTAGTAACATCACGATCGGCCCTTTAGTTTGTTGTAGAATATGTTGTGTAATTCAAATGATATAAAATTTAGTTCCGCAGACAAGCATTCAACACTAATACAGTTTTCTTAATCCTTTAGATGTCTAATTAAGTTCGGTATTGGTTGTAAAATGGGTGATTAAGATAATTACAATTAAATAATACATTGCTTAATAAGGAAAGTCTTACGTGTTGGGTGTAATTATGTTATAGATTTGATTGAAATATAATTAAAACTCAGTCAAGAATAAGCCAGATATATTAAAACAGTTAATAGATATTATTTTACGTAGATTTAATTAGACCAAAAACTTATCAATAGTTTTTAATTACACTTATTATAGAAGTGAATAATTAACTGTTACATTGTACCGTGCAAGGTTGTTTTTAAATATACTTAAAACTTTTATTACAACATAAACGTTGTTCTTCTTTTCGTAGAAAAAAAATAATTTTGTTTCAACAGGTTATCAAACTATTTTGCGGTACACTGTTTCTGAAATCGAAAAGACGATAAATTAAAACTATTAATAATTATTAATAAAACAATCCATAGTATTTCATTTAAAAACGCTTTATAACATAAATAATTTCAATATTTAAAATATAACTTAATTTAATATTAACATCTTTAACAGTGGTAGAGCCATGTGGCAGCTTTTGCTGTCGCACGGATGGGCCGGCTCGAACCGGGCTAGTACCACGACCTCATAGAAAACCAGCGTGAAGTAGAGGTTTACCTCTGCGTTTCACTTGGTGAGTGCAGGTGGCCGGAGGCCCTTTTTACTGGAAATGAGGCATTCCATCTTAGTCCTTACGGGTGACAGCGCATCTATATTTTGATTTGTAACAGAGGATAGATGTAGATGTCTATGGGCCGCAGCAACCACTTACCATCAGGTGGACTGTGTGCTCGTTTGTCACCCTTATCCTCTAAAAAAAATCTTTCTATCTCTGAAATATCATATCATTCAAATAACCTAAATAGTCTAAAATAATAAATGTTCTGCTTATTACTCTACGAAATACATTAATTAAGATCCACATTGCATTATTTTAAAATTTGAAAACCAAACTCAAGATGTTGTTTTTACTTTTCCTTTTTGTTGCGCACGAATACTGAAATTTCTTACCGGTTTCAGAGTTCCCAGACAACCACACCATCTCACACTATTACTTTCTTTCATCTCGGTTCAAGGCAAAACATTAGCCTACTCATCGTAAAAATAATAATACCTTATCATCGTCCATTGCTAGAGTTTTTGCCTCATGTTTGTAACAAGAATAGAGACCCCACTTTATTATTTGATTGGTTAGTAAATTGAAGAGTATTTCTAGTCTTAAGAAAATTATAGTGTAATTATGTATTTAGAGGTCGACAATAGCACACGCACTAACAGCTATCATCGTTGTATTGTTACTTTCACCTCACATTGAAAAATAATTTGCATAGTTAATTCATTTAGCTATAAAATGTCTTAAATGGAAGTTTTTCGACCACTGATATAGTGGTGATCAGCATATGCTCTCATATGGACGTTAAGGAACCAAGAGAGGTATTTAGTATCATGCCAATTGGAAGTCTACCCCTATGGGTGACAGGCGTGAACGTTTATGTTATATTGAACTCCTTGTTTCTATAATATTAGAACAAATAAAATGATCGTCTTACTATTCATCATTAGTATTTTACAATATAAAACTATGTCAGAGTATATCATCCTTTGAATTCATTCAAGTTAAAAAATTTGTGAGATGGATGCCTGGCCAAATTAAGTTTTGTACACCTAGGCAAGGCGAATATCAGACTCCTCCACATTTTTTTATAGGATAAAGGTAACAAACGAGCACACAGTCCACCTAATGGCAAGTGGTTGCTGTGGTCCATAGACATCTACATCTATGCTCGACTACGAATCAAAATGCAGATGCGTTGTCACTCGTGAGGACTAAGATGGAATGCCTTGTTTCCTGTAAATAGGGTCTCCGGTTCTCTACACTCACCATACGAAACACAGTAGTGTTAATCCGCTATTTTACGCTGGTATTCTGTTAGAGCGTGGTGCTTCTCTGGTCGAGCCGACCCATTCGTGCTACAACCATAATATAGCTACAGCGTGGCTCTACCACGTATAAACATTTTTCCTAACTTTGCATATCAGGTCAAAATGATTTATAAGACCGCGACGCCTATTGATAGTTGTTTTTTTTTTAACTTTTACTTTACATTTAGGTTAATCCAGCCCTGGTTGGATGTATCGAATTATACTCAAAATATCAATCTCATTTAAACGTGGTGCACAGCTAACTAATAAGCTAAGCTTCTGGGACGGACGAATGGTAGTCATCAATACTCTCACTCTCACATACTACAGCTCATCACAAGTCTACATTCGCTACTCCATCCAGTCATCAATATAGCTTATCAAAATTCAACTGCTGAACATGCAACTACACCGAACGCAAACTCTACTTATTGAATATGGGAAATAGCATTGCCAATACAATTATAAATCATATCCTTCATTTCGATTTTCACTCACGGCGACCAGTCTTAACGGGGACTAGCAATCTACGCAGTCAATCGTTTTGTGTGCTTTAGCTGATCGACGATAGATAAAATGTTGTTCAATCATCGATCGATAGTAATTAAATGATGTGGTTTTGGGCTGATCATCAGTATCTTTCAAAATATTTCTGAATAATCAAAGAGCTCGATTGATGTCGACTAACCCATTCTACCATCGATCGATCGGTGTGGTAAAAACTATCGATCGACGTCGACTAATCCATTCCACCATCGATCGATGCCGTCGATTGATGATCGATTGGTGTAGTAATATAGAGCACGAGTTTGTGCGCGAGAACAAATGCACTCTCTACTCTACTCTCCTTCATGCATTCATTAATAAATGTCATTTTAATGACATTTTAAAAATTTGTAATGATAATGAGTAAAAACGTTAAAAGCATCGAAGTTGTAAAATAATAAATAATAATTAAAAATACTGTACAATACAGAGGCCACTTCTCAGAAGAGAGGAAGCCTGTATCAAGCAGTGTTACGTATAAAGGTTGTAACTTTATGTAACTTTAGACAAAATATTGCACAAAATAATTATTATGTATACGGCAGGAAACTCTACCGAAGAAGACATTTTCAACTGAAATGTTGAGTAACTTCATTTGTCTCGTTTAGCGCTCTTAATACTGTTTTAATAGCGTCTCCCAACATTTCGTCAGCGGGTTCCATTTACCTAGCACGAAATAACAGTTAGGTAAAATGATTTGCAGTGGCAGTTGCGATGTTTAATAAGACGTTTGCCGCCTTCTTAATGACATGTCACGCTATGGAACGTCCAGCTATTTTAAAATTGTAGCAGTTGCATAAAGGGTTTGGTAATTATATATTTTTGTATCTGTAAGCAACATGATACACGCCTATTGAATAAAAGTTAGCAATTTTATCTTTTTAGCTGATTATAAGGAAGGAGAAGATGGCAAGATAAAGCGAGGAGGGTTGAATGTTTTATTATATTTTACTGTATATTACACGATATCTGTGTCAATTTAGAACTCATTGTAATTTTTTTTGAATATTTTATACTTTATTGGTGGTCCCATATAAGTTTGGAGAAAAGTATCATCACAAAGAGTAGGAAAAAACAGGTGATGAAGTTTTTAATGTAACTAATTAGACAATTAAGTTTTTACCTGAAGCTAGCTGTATTTCTTAATCCACTGAAAAGGGTCAAAAATTAAACTTGAATTAAATTCTAAAAGCTGCATTAAAAGTTATGTTTAAACCTGTTGATGACAGGAGCTTATTAATTTACATAATTCTTTTTATGTTAGATTTGTAAAGTCATAATTGGTAATTAACGTAGCCGACGAATTTTAAATTTTATTTGCATGTTTGTAAGAGTTATTTAAATTGGCCAATATGACAATAATGTATATTTTATATTATTTAACCATATTTACGAACAGTGAAAGTCATATTTTATTTATTTATATATTTATCGCTCTAAAAACGATTTTAAAGGACGGATTTGACGCCTTTTGTTATTCCCTCTGTCAACCTAGTTCGTGGAAATATATGTTATAGTTTTTAAAAAAAAACAGTTATAATTTAATAAGGAATTGCATTACATCCTTTACAGCCTATAAAAATCTACTGCTAAACATACGCCTCCCCTGTCTGTGTCTACATGTCTACATCTCATAAGACGCAGACACGTAGACACAGATATATAGACTGCCATACTTGCCACGCTTGGCAGTCGGGTTGTCAACCGCAGTTTTTTTCTGTTATTTTGAGTTGTCATTACGAAGTGGCTGCTGCCCATATCTTGTTTTAGGATTCTTCTACTGCCTTTTAGGACACCCACGGGTAAATTTGGGGTAGTGGATATTCTAATACCGCCACTATACTATTAAAATTACAAATCAATTATTATAAAATAGTGTATTAAATTATTGCGTAATAAATTCTTAACATATTACTAGATGAATTGAGTTTTCATAATATGTATAATCTTAGATCTCTACTGCCATACACCAGCGTACATCTAGGTTTTTCAAGTACGACGTTCTTGACTGACTTACGCTCGTACATTAATATGCGCATTTTATAAAGCATAGAATCTCTTATTTGCGTGTTTGTGAGAAAAGTCAAACACTTTTTTTACTTTATTCACTATAACAATTGTTTTGTAAAATCAGTGTTTTAAAGTAAGAATAGAACCAGGTGTTCATTATTATTTTTATGTTACCTACACAAAATTTAATTGTAGCGTCTCTTAATTTATTTTTATTAAATAATTAAATTATTTATTTTATTAAATTATTTTCCAATATATTAACTTCGCCTCGAAGCGTGGAAATTATGGCAAAATTCCCTCTATATGGCAATCTATGGGGAGTTCTAGTTCTAGGTTTAACAGGGGGTTTTTACAGACTGTGATCAATGGATATACTTAGGGTTTTAACTTAAGTAAGTATCGTAAAAATGTAATACCAAAACAGTAATTTGCATTACACACAATCTCCTTATACAAGTATAAGCAATGACAACATAATTTACCATTTATTATCATTATTTAATACTTTACTTATCTCTTGTAAATCCAATCTTATTTGAATATTATCAATTAAGGTTAATGTAGATGAAGATTCCTTGCAGGTCTTACAACAGATTACCTTTTCGTAACCCACACTACACCTTCTAATATTCATTGCACCATGCACTCAGAAATAACAGCTTTTACTCGAAATAATTTTATTTAGGCGCAATTTTAATCGTCTTCATCTGTCTTATTTGCATTCATTGTCTTCATCATAAGTCAGCACTGTAGGAATGATTTACTCAATTCTCAAAAGATTGATTAACGTTCGAATCAAAGACGTTCTCGCACCTTCGACGATACTCTACAACAGTTAAAGATAGTATATATTTTTTGAATCTTATTACTAATCAATCATTAGCAACAAAATTAGTTTCGTTTGATATTTATTCAAATAATGCTAAAGGGTGAATGTTAATATTTTTATTGTCTCGGTTACTAATGATAATATAATTGCAAGAAGGGATAATATATCATTTTCTTACGTCAACCTATGTATGTTGCAACAATTTGTCGGTTGGATGGCTCTGCTATGTCTTATAGCTTGTTTCAAAAATGTCCGATAATTACATCGCGTTGTCTCAGTTTTCCTTGGCTTTCTCCAACACGCGTGTCTAGCGTAACACGTACAGATAATTGCAGCGCGCTCGGTATGTACATGTGTACGATATGCACTATTGTCGTATTAGTGGATTTTAGACGATATATGTCATTAGGTTTAGGGTTGGTTTGTTTGTCTTCAAATAAGTTTAAATATAAATAGCTATCTTATAATTAGGAATGTTCCTCTTTTAAAAATTAAAACATGGGTATCAACTTCACATTTTTTTTCTCCCAAAATCCACCTACGCGATGGTAGCGTAAGAATAGAAAAGAATAGAATATTTTAACAATAATTACAAGAATAACTTATTGAAAGTTATTTAAGTTTCTACTTTTGTCCTGGGATGGACCAGCAAGAAACCTAGCGGGACTTATTTTTGAACGTTAATTTACATAATAATATGTTGTCCAATTAAATATGAAAAGGTACAGAAACAGCATGGTAGCGATCAACTTATTCCCAGAGGATCAATCATAATTTCTTTAATAGGATAGAAACCGTTATCATACATTTTTGCTTAGTCACAATTTTAATCTTTTTGCAAGATACGCCCAGAATATTTAACAAATTATTATTTAAAAAAGAGTTATTCTGGGTCCCTGGCTGGTTCTCCTGAGTGTTATGTATGTTTTTTCGTTTTATTTAAAGTAAAAGTAAATAAATAAATCTTCCTTTTAACTTAATGACTTTAAATAGACATTACTTCTAATCTAGATTTAGCAAAAGGTAGTTCAATTCTATTATATTCAATGACATTGCATTTCAATGCTTATATTACATTATTAAGTTATGATTACTTATTTCAGGAACCAGCTACTCCCGTAGAAGAACCCCAAGAGGACGACAAATCTCCTGGGTACGTAAACTCTCATTTGCTTTTGTTTAATGACTACAGGGAAGAGGCGTCAAAGATGCTGAACATCTTGTTTTGCAAGCGCTAATTCTTTATTCTTCCAGTGGGAGAGGCCGTATATTTTTTGAACAAGTAGTAAATAAAAGTGGGTTCAAATAAGTTCTTATTTTATAGAAAAAGGGTGACAAACGAGCACATTCCACCTGATGTGAAGTGGATACTGTGGCTCATATCTACAACTTACATTACATGGTCTAATAATAGTGTGTATTTACAGACCACCTCGAAACAATACACAAAATTGTGATCAGTTTTTTTCTATATTTAATGACATACTTGCTACATTGTGTTTCACAAGGAAAAAAATAGTTATTTGTGGAGATTTCAATATAAACACTTTAAAAAAGAGCAAAGAGGTTAACATGCTTAATCAAACAATTATTGGCTATAATCTTAAATTGACCATTAATAAGCCAACGCCTTACAGTTCGCGTTGATATTGAAATATTGTGTATAAAATTATCTTGTTTAGATAATTTTATACACAATATTAATGGAAGTAAATATAACATTTTTGAATTTGCTCTGTCTGATCATTCAACCCAAATGTTAACTTGTAAAGTTAAAGAAACTTGTTCTCTCTCACATTGGTTAGTAAAAATTAGAGACTATAGTAAAGAAAACATGAAAAAATTCAATCAATGCTTAAAATCACTCACTTTTAACGAAGTTTACAATACGACTGATCCAAATTATGCATTCGATTATTTTCACGAATTATTCATCTTATTTTATAATCTATGTTTTCCATTTATATTAATAAAAAGAGCACCTCGGAAGAAACCTTCCTGGATATCGAAAGGTATAAGAATATGTTCAAAACAAAAAAGAAATTTACTTTGGCAATATAGAAAACATCCGACTACACACAACAGAAATTTGTTCAAATGTTACACAAAACGTTTAAACAAAATAATAAAGTTAACACAAAGGGCACAGAATGATTATAAAATCAAAACAGCTTCAAACAAATCTAAAGTTACTTGGTCAATCATCAATTATAGTAACAGGAATGTGATTAAAGAGGAAATCAGACATATCAATAATAATGGAGTGATCACTGATGACCCCAAAGATATCGCAGAGTTATTTAACAATTACTTCATAAATGGAAATGACAGTAATATAAGAGCAATGAATATTATCTCCAAAGTACCGAATTCTTATAACTCATTATTTATGAACCCAACTACTCCTTTCGATATTAATAATATAATTAAGTCATTAAATAATACAAATAGCACAGGTTATGATGAAGTTAGCACAAAGGTATTAAAAAATGTATCAACCATCATCTCATCCGTTTTATCCTACATCATAAATTTAAGTATAGCCTCTGGAATATTCCCAAATAAATTAAAAAAAAACGGTAGTTAAACCTATATTTAAGAAAAAAGACAAGAGTGATGTTGCAAATTATAGACCCATAGCACTCATACCGATATTCTCTAAAATTTTTGAAAAGGTAATAAGTCACAACCTTAATGATTTCTTTGAAAAATATAAAATATTCACAGAGAAACAAGTCGGATTTCGAAAGAATAAAAGTACAAATTTAGCTGTCTTTCAATTTCTGCGTACTGTAATGACAAGCCTTAATAATAAGCACTTAGTATCTGCTCTATATATGTATTTAACTAAAGCTTTTGACTATGTTAATCACAGTATCCTCTTAAGTAAACTAGAAGCATACGGAGTCCGAGGAAATGTCCTCAATCTCATAAAAACATACTTAATAAATAGACAACAATGTACACAAATTACCCGTATATGCTCAAAAACGTATAGACAAATAGTTTACTCATCCTCATATCGCGAAGTAACTCAAGGAGTACCCCAGGGAAGTATTCTTGGTCCATTGTTATTCCTTGTTTATATAAACGATTTACCAAATTATATAAATCAAGATATGGTACTATTTGCAGACGATAGCACAGTGATGTTTACAAGCACAAGCAAAAATCAAATGATATCTGATATAAATCAAACATTATACATAATAATTCAATGGTTATCAAATAATAATTTATTAATTAATCTAAATAAAACAAATCGAATGACATTTAGAAACGTGAAAAATAATTTAACATAATAACATAACATAAACACTCACGCCTGTCACCCAGAGGGGTAGGCAGAGATTATGGACTTCCATTTGGCACGATCCTGACACACCTCTCTCGCTTCCTCCACATCCATATACCTACGCATACACGTTCGTCGGTTAAAGGTACTCTTGATTTGGCCCATTTTTAATATATCGCCAATTTGGTCGATAAACTTTCGCCTAGGGCGACCCTTCCCGACTATGCCGTTCACCTCTGCAACATAAATTTGCTTTGTCACTCTTTCCTCATTCATTCTTTCTACATGGCCAAACCACCGAAGCATTCCTTTCTTAATCCTGGTCACAACATCATCTTGCAAACCACACTCTTCTCTTATTAAACAATTTCTCACTCTTTCATTCAGCTTCATCCCTAACATACTCCTTAATGACCGCATTTCTACAGCATTTATTCTACTCTCATGCTTCTTCTGCCACACCCAACTTTCACTACCATACATTAAAGTAGGTACTAACACAGCATTGTGAATTGCCATACGTGCCTTTTTGGACACATTCTGACTTTTCACAATAGAGTGTAGAGCCCCATTCACTCTATTTCCTGCATTCACTCGTCGTTCTATATCCTTATCATATCTACCATCCCTGCTAAACACACATCCCAAATATACAAACTCATCTACTTGCTCTACCAACTCCCCTTCTATTCTTATTTCACATATCGTTTTACTTTCTTCTCTTTCAAAAACCATAACTTTCGTCTTACTTGCGTTCACTTTCATTCCCTTTTCTTTTAATGTCCTGTTCATTAATGTAACCATCATTTGCAACTCGGCTGCCGACGACGCAAGTATGACTTGATCATCGGCGTACAAAAGACATTTGACGGTTAACTCACCCATTCTTAACCCGCATTCTTCTACTTTCAAATTTTCCAAACAACTGTCCATAAACAGGTTGAACAACCACGGGGAAGCCACACAGCCCTGTCTGACACCTTTATGGATGTCAAACCAGTCCGAGTAGGCCCCGTTGATCCTGACACAAGCACTAGAGTCCCTATATAGAGACTTCAATGCCTGTATCAGACCAGCGCTCAACCCAAATGAGTTCAGTGTTTGCCATAACACATCCCTGTCCACTCTGTCATAAGCCTTCTCCAAGTCCATGAACGCACAAAAAACTTTTTGGTTTTTGGCCAAAAACTTCTCGGCGATCATGCGCATGGAAAAGACCTGATCCGTACATCCCATTCCCTTTCTAAATCCCGCTTGCACATCCCAAATTTTTCCGTCAGTTTCTTTCATAACTCTTTCAATTAGTACCTTAGCATACAGTTTTCCCACAATGCTAAGAAGGCTGATACCACGGTAGTTTTTACAGTCCTGCTGTGATCCTTTTCCCTTATATATTGGGACTATCACGGCTTTGCACCAGTCTCCCGGTACCCGCTTAAGTTCCCAACATAAATTAAACAAGGTGTACAGCAGGTCTGCCACCACTCCTTCTCCAGCCCTTAGCATTTCGAGAGATACTCTATCATAACCAGCTGCCTTACCTACTTTCATACTTTTCATTGCTTTCATTATTTCATCTATACTTATATCTCTATCTATTTCCTCTTCTTTCGGAATTTCTATTTCATTTAATTCAAACGTCTCATCACTCATAAACACGCTTTCAAAGTATTCCTTCCATCTCCTTAAACTCAAAACTTCGTCATTCAGAATACAGCCATTCTGGTCTCGTATAGCATTCATTCTAGGCTGTTGTGAATGTCCCCTGGTAGTTCTTACGAGTTTCCAGAACATTTTAATGTTTTCCTGGAAGTTATCCGATATTCTTCTATCATTCTTATCCGTTCTTTCTTGCTTTTTCCTTTCAACTACTTCTTTTACTCTCTTATTTAGGTGTCTAAAAACCGCCTTTTTCCTTTCAATATCATCATTCATACTGCTAGAATTACTAGCCTTGGTTGCTAGTAAATCTAGCCATGCTTTCTTCTTTGCTTCAACTTCCATCCGTACCTCATCATCCCACCATAACGTGTTATTTTTCCTTTCATTTGTTCTCTTGCTTACACCACATACTTCGGTAGCTGCATCCACTAAACCTTTCTTGACATTATACCACACAGTCTCCAAGTCTAAATCATTCATACACAATTCAGCCATACCACTTATATTTTCTCTCAATCTACATTTGAACTTCTCTTTCACACCTTCATCTTGTAGCCTCTCTGTTTTTATACGCTGTAACGCTGTGGTAGACACAGATGTCCGATGCCTCCAACGTCTGAAAAGACCATTAATTCGGCATAAGACCAAGTAATGATCCGTCCCTACGTTAGAGCCCCGGTAAACCCTTGTATCTACCACCGCGCTCCTCATTCTTTCATCAACAATTATGAAATCTATCATACTTCTATCATCACCTCTTTCCCATGTATACGTGTGAATCTTCTTATGACGAAACAAAGTGTTCGTCACAACAAGATTCTTTTCCACGCATACGGCGAGAAGGCTTTCACCATTCTCATTTATACTTTCATCACCAAACGTTCCCAATATCCTTTCATAACCAAGCCTCCTCACCCCAACCCTTCCATTAAAATCGCCTAATATCACAATATTTTCATTAACCTTGCATTTCATTAGCACCATCCTTACCAACTCCCAAAACTGCTCTCGGATATAAGTGGGCTTAGACATGTCTGGGGCGTAGACCCCTAAAACAAACAACTTCTTTAAGCCCACTTTCATTCGTATCCATAGCAGTCTCGGGCTTACACATTCATACTCTTTTACACAATGACCCATTCTTTCTGAAAGGATGATACCGACTCCCTGGCATGCCCGCTCGGTCTCGTCTACACCAGACCAGTACGCGGTATACATGCCATGTGTAGTGGCATCCTTTCCCTTCCGTTTCGTCTCATTCACACATAACACGTCTATTCCTCTATCATACATCATATCGCATACTTCATCCATCTTATCATTCATTCCTCCACATACGTTCAATGTAGCCAGACGGGCTACATTGAACGTATGTGGAGGAATGCTACAACGGACAAGAAATTAATGTAGTCGAAAATGCAAAATTTTTAGGCCTTAATCTCGATTCAAACTTAAAATGGAAATCTCAAGTGGAAGATATTTGTACTAAACTCAATCGGTTCTCTTATGCTCTATATAGACTTGGAACAATTGTGAATCAATCTGCCGTCATCACTGCGTACCACGGTTATGTAGAATCGGTGTTAAGGTATGGTGTCATCTTTTGGGCTAACTCTGTAGATAATGAAATGATATTTAGAGCCCAAAAAAGATGTGTAAGAGCCATTGTGAAGTTAAAACAGACAGATAGTTGTAAACCATTTTTTATTAGTCTGAAACTGTTAACACTTCCGTGCCTTTATATATATGAGATAGCCGTTTTTGTTACTACGCATATTTCTTTATTTGAGTGCCTACACAGTAAACGTAATAATCAAAAAATATGTTTTCCATCAAACAACACAGCCCAATTTAACAACAGTGTATTTTGTATGGCCCCTAGAATTTATAACCATTTACCATTACACATTTTGAGATGCTCCAATATAGATAAGTTTAAAATACTATTGAAGCAATTTCTTCTTAATAAGGCATACTACAGTGTGAAAGAATATCTCGAAGACAAATATGAAATTCAATAATTGACTGTTACATGACTGAGAATAACTAAATTGACTTGACTTATACAATATTATCTTAATTGACTTATCGCTATTATTTTTGATTTTGTATCATGTTAATTCCAATTTTAACTAGAGTATGTTTAAGTAATTTAATATAAAAGTAATAAAATGTGATGGACATTGCATGCCAAATGGCGGAATATAGCTGTACTAAATGTTTGTTCTATAAGTGATAAACTATGTAAACACCAACTGTATCAACCTATATTCGCAATAAACGAATTGAATTGAATTGAAAAACCTATCCTCAATTAAGAATCAAAATGCAGATGCATTATCACCTCTAAGGACTAATATGGAATGCCTCGTTTCTAGTAAAATGAGTCTCCAGTTCTCCACCATCAGCATATAGCAGCTTAAAATTGCTATTTTGCGCTGACATGATGTAATGAGCTATATTGAATAAAAATAGTGTATTCTTATTTTTTCTTATTATCTTTACGTGTAAGAGTAGTTACTATAGCTGTATTATGGCTACAGCAAGTATGGAACCAAAAATAACTGACGAAGAATTGCGTTCTCACAAAATACTAGCGTATAAAGGCAACATGGGATGCTTTTAGCTACTATCTTAGTCTGCAGAAACCATCCTACTTTGTTTGCAGATGTTCGTTGGCTGCAGAAGCCACCTAATATCAAGTAGATATCTCGAGTTCTTGAAACTTGTTTGTTCTGTTTAATTATTAATTATCCACCTGATTCTATTATTCATGTTCTATTACAGGAGAGTTGAAACAAATGAGTATCGGCCCGGTCAAGTTTTTTCCCTTAACCCGCAAGAGTTATTAGATCTTCAACCGGAAAGACAAGCGCCCTTAGCGAGCAATCAGCAGCTTCAGCAGCTGTATGGTAATCTACAGCCTGAACACAAGCAAAATTTACAGCCTTTCTACTATTACGATCCACAACTTGCAGGACAGGTAATTTATTCTGATAAATCATTTTATTTATATTATATAAATTAAATTTACTTTTGTTTCAGTTAATATCACACTTTTGAAAAGTGTTTCATTCAGGGTTATTTTGCAATAACCGGCTAAATTTGCAGAGAAGGTTCAGAATAAGTAATAAAGGAAAATGGTCGATAAAAAATTATTTAAAAAAATCTCAAACATTCTGTCCTTTTTATCTTATAAATTCATAGTGCGTGGTAATGAATTATTTTAACTGATTTTACTGCGCACGCACTTTGCAAGGGTCGATCGGTAGGCACAAGCGTAGTTGCTCATAAATCACATTTAATTTAGCACTTACTTACTTACTTATCTTCACGCACAATCCCTGACGGGGTAGCCAGAGAGAACAGATCGCCAAGTGTCACGATCCTTACATATCTCTTTCGCTTCTTTCAGATTCATTATCTTCTTCATACATGCACGTCTAGGTATCCGAGTACTCTTGACCCTACCCTCTTCGAGCAATTTGCTCACATGGTCTTCGAAAGTTAGTCTCGGTCTACCTCAACACCTTTTAATATTAACTTTCGCGCTATATATTTTCTTCACCATTCGGTCTTCACTCATTCGCTCAACGTGCAACGTTAATTTAGGACAATTTCAAATAAAAGTAAAAGTCTTATCTACTCGTATTTTCAAAATCTGCAATAACGGTTTATCTTTATTTAAGCAACTTAAATTTAAAATATGGCTACTCTTTGAAAAATAACCCGGTATACCGCATTACTGGCCTCGTGTTAGCGTCGTAATCCACCATTTCGTCTCGTGGGTATCGTAAGGGACGACTATAGAAAATGCTTTAAAGATCTCATGGCTTCTGATAGATAAAAGCAGAGCTATCTAGTCCAAGAGACGTAAAATACCCGGACTACCATCGGTAAGGAAAAAAATTTTGACAAATGTTTTGCTAATAAAAGAATAAGACATCATCATCTCAATGGCCCATTACAATGCGTTTTAGCAGGAATGTCCTGCCACAAACGGCCACAATGTAGAATTTACTGTTGCGCCTAGATTTTCCGGATCGATATGATATAGGGACTTTTAAGAAAAAAAATCGGTTGCTTTGTAATTTGTCGGCAACGCACCTGCGATTCCTCTGACTTTGTGAACAGAACGCTCGTTTGCCTGCTCCTCTATAAAAAAAAAAATAGGCTATTTATAAATGTAATGGTACAGCCTTTTGACGTCCTATTTCTGGGCACCGGGCTTTCCTATTTCTGAGAGGGTTATGAAACAATTAGGCCCCCGTGCTCTAGTGCCTGTTGGCGAATTTCAGTCCTCCAAATAATATTATCGAATAATATTTCTTACATAACATGCAGGTTTCCTCGTGATGTTTTTAATCAGCGTCTATTATAATTTCATTTTTTCTTAAACTTACCCTCACACTACAATTTTCTCCTGTATCATGGAGGCAGTTTACAAACATAAATTGCACGAGGACAAACATCCAGAGCCGGAACAATTACTTGCAGGTCATACAAATACTTGTTACGTGCGGGATCCGAACCAGCGACCCTCAGCGCAGTAACTCATTGCTAAGCCACTGCGCCACAGAGCCGTCAATTCAATAATCAATCATAATTCTACTCTGTATGTAGTATATTATTCTGTTGTACTTCTGCACTTAAAATTAAAAATATAATTTTTATTGGTGCCGGCGGGGATCAAAGCCGGGCTAGCAAACCAGCCCATTACGAAATTAATGGCAAGCGTTCAGCCTCTGAACTGCTACGGCTCAGATTAATATATAATTTTGTAAATTCTCTCATGTTTAAAAACTGGAAGATATTGACTAGTTTTTAATTTCTAGGTGTCTCTACAACCATCACATGCGGTCATCGCGCGCCCTGACCATTCTTCTAACGGCGGAGAAGCATCAGTAGGTGCTGCACTTTCTGTCAGTGACACTGGCAATCCTCGTTCCCATTCTTTTGACCAAGAAATATTGGCTCTACTTGGCCATTCAGCACGACAGGAAGATCAACGACTCCAAGCTTACACGCAGACACAGCAACCGTTGCAAATCTTACCACAAAATATAGGACAACAATACCAGCAGGTGAGATGTCATATCGACATTTTACGTATCATTATATCGTTTTTACATGGTGCAGCTATACTATGATTGTAGCACTAATGGGTCGGCTCGAGCGGGGAGAAACCACGCTCTCACAGAATACCAGCGTAAAATGGCGACTCGATGCTGCTGTGTTTCGTATGGTGAGTGTAGAATTCCCTTTTTGCTGGAAATGAGGCATTTCGTCTTAGTCCTGAGGGGTATCAGCGCATCTGCATTTTATTGTTAACTGAAGTTAGATGTAAATGTCTGTGGGCCTCAGCCTTCACTTATCATCAGGTGAATTGTGTGCCCGTTTGACATCTGATTCTATAAAAACAAAACTTAAAAATAATGTAGACGTCTATGAGCCACAGTATCCATTTGTCATCGGGTAGATTGTGTGCTCGTTCGTCACCTTTCTTCTATAAAATAAATAAAAAATAATAATAAATACCATTTATTTGCAATATTAAAATTATTTTCGGACTTGAATGTAGATAATATTCGATTTTCTTTTAATTTCAGATCGAAAATTATTTAACGAAATCTGGTAAGAAACCGACTAACCTACGTTCAAATGTTCAAATTGTGCCAACACAAGCGTCAACTGCTCCTCAGCAATATTTAATTGAAACCACTAATGTGCAACCACAGCAACAACCATTACAGAACGAATTCCATTTCGCACAACCTCAACGTGCACCACAAACTCTGCGCTATATCCCGATACAACCTGATGTACAACAAACTCTATACGAGCGCCCTGAATCCCAAGGCCTAAAAGTTGTGCCAGCTCCTAATTTACAAAACTTACAGCCTCTCACTCAAAATAATTACGCATTTATACCGCAATATCAACCAGAATTAGTTCCAAAACAGTACACGTTTGTGGACACACAAAGACAACAAATTCAAGCAATTAGTCAAGAGCAGCCCTTAGTCGCTATAGGAAACATTGAGAGACCATTGACTTACTTAAAACGTATCCCAGAACGTGAGAAAACACGCACAGTTAAAATCTATAATCAAGAAGGTTTAACTTCAGCGTCCCAACCCGCTCAAATAGGTGGACAATTCTATCTCAGACCTTTGTATCAATCCAATGACCAAAGAGGAAGATACGAATTATCATCGCAAGCTCTGAAATCTGAGCAGCAAGCTAGAGCTATTGAATCAACAAAGGCTCCGCTTTCAACTATATATGTCAACAAGAAAATTTCTCCGAAAAAAGTTGTTAGACCCTCACAGAAATCGGAACAGCCAGCAAGAGGCCAATTTTTCAGATTAGAACAAAAACCTATAAGGTTTGAGCAAATATCTGAAGATCAACAAAGTAAAGCATTCGATGCACAACGTGCTCACTTGCCACCTCCAAGAAACAATAAAGCATACACGCCTGAAGAGTTTGCTGCTTTAGTTGCTGCAGGTTATTCTGTGACTCCTGTTCCAGTGGGAGGTTCGAGACAACAAGCACAATCGAGATCTTTCTTGGAATCAATTCAAATTCCGCAACGCCGTCCATTATACAGTAAACGTCACCAATATCTTCCTTTGAGATATGATGAGGCACCTTGAAACTTAACTATGTACAGAATTTTAGTATAAACTTTAGATAATAGAGCTATTTTGTAATTTATCATGCTTTTATTAACACTTTTCCCTAGTCCTTTGTCCTAAGCTTAGACAGACTATACACACTTACTTATCGCCATGTGTTGGCGACGTAGAGAATCCATTAATCATTTTGTCGCGCGAGTGTCGTCAGAAGCGACTATGAAAAATGTCGGAATGGTCTCATGGCTCCTGACGGATAGCGTTACAACCATCACGCGACGTTTTCACCAGTGCAGTTAAGGCAAGTCCTTCCTACTACAGTAGAAGCTCATGGCCAGCGCTGGATATTTACAAATTAACAAAGAACACACATATTTAAAATTTATGAGCTTAAAATGGAATAAATTTTTAACGCAGTAATTATTTTTTGTGACTCAAAGTAAGGGGTAGCACACATTCCTTACTTGTTATAACTAGGTACAATGTTCTTTATTATCATCTTTTTTAATAATTATAAAATGTCTTCAAATGGAATCCATAGTTTGAAAGATTTTCTCATCACGCTGGGCAAGCAGTTTGGTAACCTCTAAATTGATACCTTTGCACTAGTAATGAGATAAGAGAAGCAGCCGCATCACCAGCCTGAAAGATTTGGTTTCGATGTTTCCGTGATTTTAAGTTAAGAACTCGGAGGTTATTTGGCATAGTTGTCAGCCGCGCTTAGTTCTGTTTATACATTTTTTGCCTGTAAGCCGTATAGAATAGAAGAGAATAGTATAATTTTTTTATTTAATATAAATCACATATGTAATTCTTATTGAAAGTCATTTTTTACTTTACCACTGGTTCGAAAAAAAACCTCTGTCCTGGGAAGAACCAGCAAGAAACCCAGCGGGACTTTTTTTTAAAGCAAATTTTACAATAATGGTTGTACAAACTATATAAGTACAAAATTTATTTTAGAAACAGCTTGGAAGCGATCACCTCATTCCCAGGGGTTATTATCACCATGTATTCATTTATACTATAATAACCCTTTTTATACAGTTTCAACTTAACAAAACATTTAAACTTGCTAATAGAGAGAGCCTGTACCCCTTCCGGGACCTTGTTGTAATAGCGTATACATTGCCCCAAGAATGAATTACTGACTCTGTGGAGTCCAGAAACTGGTATTACTAGCTTGTGTTTGTTCCTAGTGTTTACAGAATGCACATCGCTTTTTTTGCTAAAACTACCTTTGTTTTTGTGAACATACATTAAATTTTCGTAAATGTACTGAGAGGCCAAAGTTAATATATTTATTTCTTTAAATTTATCTCTAAGGGACACTCTCGGTTTTAGGTTGTAAATAGCTCTAATGGGCCTTTTCTGTAAAGCAAAGATAGTTTCTGAATCGGCCGCATTTCCCCATAGCAAAATCCCATAAGACATTATGCTATGGAAATAACTGAAATAAACTAATCTAGCTGTCTCGACACTAGTGAGACCTTTAATCTATTTTACAGCATAGGCTGCAGAAGTTAGTCTGCTTGCTAGTTTGGATATATGGGGGCCCCACTGAAGCTTTGCGTCGAGAGTGATGCCAAGAAAAACGGTGGATTCAACAGGGCTTTGTTCTTCCCACAAAAAATATTTTTAATAAGCTCAACTCCAGCGTCAGGTGTCGAGCGACCCCTTGTTAAACCGAATTGATTTCTATGTAGCAATTTATTAATATTAAAGAAACTTAACATCTGATCTAAAATTATTTTTTCAAAAATTTTACTAAATGTTGGTAGTACAGAAATTGGTCTAAAATTGGCGGGGTCTAATGTACTAGCAGATTTAAATAAAGGTATGACTTTACTATGTTTCATTAAATCAGGAAACACACCAGATTCGACGCTTGTATTAAATATAGTGGCTAGATAAGGTGCTATTATATCTATTATAGATAAAATAACTTTAACGGAAATAAATAGAGGTTTTCCAAGAAGCTATGTCCTTGTGAGAGTGGAACGATATTATTATATTACTGTTCTGCTATTTGATACAAAGGTAAGATTGGTGCTAAGAAAAAGTTTAACATAATAAATATTATACTGTAATTCCTGTTTAACTCCGCTCTTTTCAAACACGAAAATAGATAAAGAAACAGCCAAAATCAACAAATAAAATGTTTATTTATTTTCTTTCGATTTCAAAAAGGAGACGTTACTCAATTCGACTCTATGTTTTTTACGTGTGTTACCTAATAATTTTTACTGGGTGAACCGATTTCGATGATTCTTTTTTGTGTGCTTCACATGTGGTCTCATATAAATCAGGGTCTGACCAATAGTTTTTGACTTATTCTTAATAATTTATATCGAAGTCGGTTGTACAAAATTTTTAACTTTAAATTATAAGTAGTAGTTAGTATTACAAGATGGGTTGAAAAAGATCAATATGAATCAACTTTTTAATTTCAAAAATCTTATGATACCTTCAATTACATCCTAAATAAGTCCACTGCTGAACATGGATCTCCCTCATAGATTGACTCATAGGTGGGTTTTGCCATAGTTGCCACACTTGACAGGCGTTTCCCTATTTATACAACGGGAAACGCCTTCCAAGTGTACTGTTTCAGTTTCCTTCTGTCGCCTCTTATGATACCCCAGGTCGATATGGAGTAGTGGATATCCTTACACAGCCACTAAACGGTTACACATCACAATAAAGATAAAAAAATTGGTACAATTAATTCAATTCAGAAATCAGAGCTGAAATAATTGCATTAGATTAAATCCGACGTTGCAGGAGCGCTGCAGCTAAATTAATCAAGGTTCAAGAGCACTCAATTTAAAATGAAAAATATCTCTATGTATAAAAATCAATTCCTGTCCGTTAGTCTCGCAAAAACTGGGAAATGGCTCGACTCATTTCGATGAATTTTTTGTATGTGTTAGATTGGGTCTCTGGAAGGTCTAGATTCACAATTGGGCTGGGTAGGTGGCCCTGTTTTCGAGATTCAGAAGCCGTTTCCGCGAAGCCGCGGTCGATCGCTAGATTTTTTATAAAACTGAAACGATAGACGTGCTTAGAGTCCACCCGACGGTAAGTGGTTACTGCAGTACAAGGACACCTGTAAGCAACCTCAAACAAAGAAATCTACAAATGTACCTGTAATTAATTATACTGGCTCTCTACAATCTTCGAAATACGGCAGTGCAAGTACTGCTTTTTGGCGGTAGATATAAATAAGGGTAATATCTATCCAGACATACTCCTACGCACAAAAGAGGTCCAATCAGATGGTAGAATATACATTTTTAAAGGATTATTGTTCAATAAAACAATTAGAATAGATTATTGCAATGTACCTTATAACTACTTATACAATGTTACCTTTTATAGTTATTTTATCTTATTTATTTATTTTATAGGATATGGTAACAAACGAGCACACAGTCCACCTGATGGTTAGTGGTTACTGTGACCCATAGACATCTACATTTATCCTCAATAAAGAATCAAAATGCAGATGCGTCGTCACCCGTGAGGACTAAGATGGAATGCCTTTTTTCTAGTAAAAAGGGTTTCCGGTTCCCTACAATCACTATACAAAACACAGCAGTATTAAGCTGCTATTTTACGCTGGTATTCTCTGAGAGCGTGGTCCTTCCCCGTTCGAGCCGACCCATTCGTGCTAAAACTATACTACTAATATAGCTGCAACATGGTTCTACCACGTTGATAACTATCCAGACATACTCCTACGCATAAAAGAAGTCGAATCAGCTAGTAGAATATATATTTTTAAAGGATTATTGTTCAATAAAACAATTCGAATAGATTATTGCAATGTGTATACCATTTACCTACTTACACAATATTACCTTTTATAGTCCGGAAGAATCATTAAAATTACTACACTTTATATGTGTATAATAGTAATACTGTAATAATTATACGTTCCATCTTTTATTTTGCCATTTACAACATTTACATTTATAAATTATTTTTCATGCCATCTTACATATAGTTAAAAAGTAAAAAGTAGATAAATTGATACTTATTATTGATTAATGTTTAAGTTTTTTTGAATAAATATACATTTCTGATCCCAGTATGTAATGTGAATTGGTTGCTACGCAAGCCTGAGGCTAGTAAACCAGAAAATTGGACCGAAATTCAATTTCAGTTCGAGAACAAATTTCATTATAAGGGTAATATTGTTGGGAAATATACATATTTTTATCCCATTCTCAGCGAACACGTTATTCAAGTTGTTTCGTTTTCATTATAGGATTTATGAAACAAAAATCATTGGCCATGTGATGGTGACACAAAATAATTTCTTTCTAGGGGCAAAAGTGGGAAACCTCAGAAATACCTTATAGCCTCCAAAGGTGATATACCTCAAGTACTATAACCCCAAGAAATGCACTTGAATCCATCGACTTCGAGACTGCTACTCGAGAATCTTTTTTCCCCATCGGTTATATGTAACTAAATTCATGGACAAATTTTGAGGAACACAAAAAGTGTGTATAAAAAATATCATGGATAAATGTAACATTAATTTTATTTATTTGGATTTTGCTTATTTTTCCTTTTGATTATTCGTTAATTTTAAATTGATAACATTTTCTATACAAATATTTTTATATAATTATTAAGATGAAGTACTATATTTTAATAGAACAAGGGTGACACACGAGCACACAGTCCTCCAGTCCACCTGATGGTAAGTGGATGCTCTCGTCCATAGAGATCTACATATTTGTTCTCAATTAAGAATCAAAATGCAGATGAGTTGTCACCCTTGAAGACTAAGATTGAATGCTACATTTTTAATAAAAAACGGTTTCTGGGTCGCTACACGCACCATACAAAAAAACAGCTGTAATTTTACGCTGCTATTCTGTGACAGCGTGGTTAAGTGACAAAAATTAACCAAATTAAGAAACAAAAGAAAAATTTTAACAATGGTAGAGCCACGCGGCAGCTTTTGCTGTCGCACGGATGGGCCGGCTCGAACTGGGGTGGTACCA